GCTCCTGCACTTTTTCATTCACTCTCGTCTCCTCCTTCCTCTTGATCTCCACCATCAGCATCAACAGGTGGTTCGCCATCTGCAGACCACTCACCTACATGACCTCATTCAGCAAGTCCAAGTAAGTACCACCTCCCCTTTGTCGTCCCCTCTCCTGCTGACCACCCCCAGCTACACCCCCATCCAAATCGTCCCTCAAAGGGTACCCATTTAATAATACTTTACAACGTCAGTTTTGGTCGATCAAACCTAGTTTTTTTCATTCGGTGTCAATGAATACAGATTTCAGAGTGAACGCCAACTAATTTTGAGGCTAAACGTTGCTTTAATTCAAAAGCCGGTGGTCGTATGTTAAGTTTTTTATAAATTTAACAAAACTAACTGCAGAAATTCGACAGATGTTAGCATTGTTTTTCTTTTTGTTTGGTACTACTACAACCCGCTACAAAAGACAAATTGCAAAGTTAAAAGAAAACGGCAATTTAAACAAAGTGGCCAGTTTTGCCACTGAACTCAAAACTTGAGAAATTAGCCTATGGGCGCGCCTTGCTCGGGTCGGCGCTTCACGGCAATAACTGGCTCTAGATTTTGTAAAGCAATTTACCCCCTGCTATCGAGCTTGTAAAGCGTTGGTGTGACTTCCGCAGTGAGTCTTTTTCGAATTGACTTTTAATGCAAGTTATTTGCATTTGGTTTTTTATTAGGTTGCGTGATGCTAAAAATATCCTTCTATAGTTTGTGTAGCGTGTAGGGTGATGAATAAAATGAATAAAGTCGTTTACTTTACAATTTTTCACCAAACCTTTTTTTAATTGGCTTTAAAATTTAATCAAAATATTCGAAGAGTTCGCTAAGATAAACAATTAGTCTTGTGTTTTTTTTGCATTGGTGAATAAATAATGATCCAGTTTCATTATTTTCAAAAAAAAACACAAGACTGATTGCTTATCTTAGCGAACTTTTTGGATATTTTCATTAAATTTTAAAGCCAATTAAAAACATGTTTTGTGAAAAATTGATAAACCAAACGATTTTATTCATTTTATCACCCTACACGCTACACAAAGAATAGAAGAATATTTTTAGCATCACGCAGCTTAATAAAAGACCAAATGACATCACTGAAATCAATTTGGACGGATTTAAGTTCTTTTTTTCTCATTTGAACTCCAGAAAACAATATCTTTCAATTTGTACAAAAGTTTCGTTCACAAATACTTAGTCTAGCCGATCATTGATTGAAAAAGACTGCTCACATATCATGGTAAAGCCCTGAGTGTTCCGACTGCTCCTACAGCCAATTAATTTTTTTTGATTGACTAGTTGCCAAAAGAATTGAAAAAAAAAAGAAAACGAAATATTTCATTTTTTCATAATTTTATCCCTCCGAACGCAATGTAAAGTACTGAGGGTATGTTTAGCGTCTCGTATTGTGTATAGTTTTTGTATTGCTGGCCTCTATTCAAATTGGAATGCAATAATCTGCCGCTTACATGTGCTATAGAAGGCAATATATCGCCCGTTAATTGTCTCAATTTTTCAAACCCATGTAACTTTGCAAAAAATAATTAAAGATAGACAATCATTTGAGCTCAAAACAACAGTATGTTTCAGATGGTATAAAAGTATTCCGTCAAATATTCCGCTTACCTATGAAGTGGAAAATTGACTAAACAAAGAATACCTAAATATTAAATAAAGAATACCTAAATAAATTGACTAAATAAAGAATTAAGTGTCAGTGGTAACATTCAGGGTTTTGCTCTGATACACTAGCATTCGTGTTTTGCCTTTAATGTTAAAAAATTTTCCTCCTCACTTCTCATTCTTTCTAAAGTACAACTAGTATACTTTTGAGGCGACGTTTCAGTCAACACTGTACATCTTTTTCTCTACCCAAATAAGCAAAGCATGCAACTGAAATTGAAGCTCAAGATTGCTATCAAAGACTGATTACCTATTGAAAAACTTCATTTATCGGATATGAAAAAAAGTTTAACATGGATTTTTTATGAAACATTGGTGAAAAATTTTTTGCTTCTTTTCTAAAAACTACTTGAAGTATGCGGCTTTCGTTTCAAGAAAAAATGCAATTTTTTTAAGGCAAGCTACTCTAGCTAAGAAACTTCATTTTTGCACGTTATTTCACAAGTCAAATCGGTCAGCTAAAAAAAATCAAGTTTTTCGAAGCGAATTATTCTAGCTATGGATTTTTGAAAAGAAAATTCAAATTATTTCAGACCGAATAGGTACGAAAACGATTTTGAGTTCTTATATTTTCAGCTCTAATTATTTCACAGTATTTCTTAAGGAAAATCGGGTGGCGAAAAATTTACTCAAGCAGTAAAACTTGAAAAAGGTAAGTTTTTCCATGGAGGCAAACGGATGGCGAAAAACTCTTTTTTTATTGCAACCATTCAAGCGATAAAATTTTGAAAAATTTCAAGTTGGTTCTTAGACCGAGTAGTTTTCCGAAAAAGAGAATTTTTCGATGCAAGCTATCCAAACAAAAATACTTCAGACGATAGGACGAATCAGTTTCTTTTTCAAGCAATTCGAGTAATTAAAATTTGATTAATTTCAATTTATTTTATCGAATGAATCGGATGGCAAAAAGTTTCAATTTTTCTAATAAAGCCATCCATTGAATGAAACTTTGAAATACTTCAAAGTCTTTCATTGAGTAAAACATTTCTTTGAGCAAAAAAAATCCTCACATGCCAAAAACATCCTTTTTTGTTTTACATAGCGTGTGGTGGGAAAAAAACAGAAAAGAAAAAAATCCATTTTTCACTTTTTCGATCAGCTGTTCATCGATTTTTTGAAGAAAGATTTTTTTAAATTTAAGGGCCAGTGCTAACATTCAGGGTTTTGCTCTGATACACTAGCAGTCTTGTTTTGCCTTTAATCTTCAAAAAAATTTCTCTTCAATTTCTCATTCTTGCTCAAAATACAACTGATATACATTTGAGATGACGCTTCACTCAACACAGTACATCGTTTTTTCTAACTGAATATGCAAAGAAGCTTGAATCTGAAATTGAAGCTCATGATTGCTATCAGAGACTGATTGCCTATTAAAAAACTTCAGGCGAATCGGTTTGCAAAAAAATCAAGTTTTTCGGAGCGAAAAAGTCAAGCTATGAAATTTTGAAAAAAAAAATCAAATTACTTCAGACCGAATAGGTCCGCGAAAATTTTTGAGTTTGTTTAAGCAAGCTATGAAACATTTAAAAGTTTTCAATGAGGGAAATCGGATGACGAAACATTAACTCAAGCAATGAAACTTTGAAATAGGTTAATTTTTTTTGCATGGAGGGAAACGGGTGGCAAAAAATTCTTTATTGCAGCCATTCAAGCGATAAAGCCCTGAAATATTTCAAAATGGTTCTTAGACCAAATCGTATTTCGAAAAAGTTAATTTTTTTTACGCAAACTATCCAAGGAAAAATATTTGGAAACATAACGCGAATCAGTTTCTTTTTCAAGCTATTCAAGTAATTAAACTTTGGATAAGTTCAAGTTTTTTCTTAATCGGATGGCAAAAAAAATTAATTATTTGATTAAATCCATTCAGCTGATGAAATAATTAAAGTTCGTTTATGGAGCAAAACCTTTGGCAAAAAATGAGGTTTTTTTTATGCAAGTTACTAAACCAATGAAGTTTTGAAATATTTCAGGTTGTTTTATAGACTGAATCGGGTGGTGAAAAGCTTGAGTTTTTCTACGCAGGCTATTCAAGTCATAAATATTTGAAATTGATTTGCGAAAAATTAGTTGTCTTAAGCATGTTGGCTGCTGTTTTCAGCTGATTCGTTTCAGACTGAAATGAATCTGTTAATAAAATTTTTGGACAAAAAATGAGCATTTACCGTCTTGATTTGAAATTGAGTCGAGTTCATCTAAAATATTTTCGTACTATTTTCAACAAGAATTCTAAGCATTCTAGCTTAATATTGTTTAACAATATGAGGAGTCAATCCGATTTTGACTGAAAAATTCCAGAACCTTCTAAACTCTGAAAAGTTTTTTAAACGTTGAGCTCAATGATCGCTCTTAACCATTGCACTATTTGGTAGATTACATATGGCATTAATTTTTCTGTCATTCGTTTAATGAATAAGAAGGTTAAGCGATTAACTTAATGCGCTATGGACACAATGTTTTAGTTTTTCTGTCGAGCACAACGTTTAAGAAGGCTTAGATCAGAACGTTTAAGCATCATTCAGAGCAACCATCGAACTCATTGTTTATGAGGCGTTGAGTCAAGAACTTTCTAGAACTTTCAATAATTCTAAAGTCTTTAAACAAGTTAACTCGATTCAACTTCAAGTCTAGAAAGTACTTCTCCAATTTTTTTCAATTTTTTGCGATTGCAGATTCATTTTATTCTGAACGGAGCCAACTAAAAAAGGCAAATTCCATGATTACAAAAGTATTTCTTTGCAAACCGCTTTGCGCTAGGAAATAACCTAAAATGTTTCAAATATTATAGATGGAATGGCTTCCTTAGAAAAACTTAAACTGTTCGCAAACCAACGTTGTCTATCAAATAACTTGAAATATTTCGAAATTTCATTGCTTGATCAACGTGCTTAGAAAAAATTGAACTTTTTGCTACCTAATTTGTTCTCTTAAAAAAGTTGAACTATTTTAAAGTTTTATAGCTGAAATAGCTTGCTGAAAAAAACTTGCACTTTTCGAGAACCGACTCAGTCTATATAATAACGTGAAAATAGTATTAAAAAATTCATCGGTTGTCATCCAAATGACTTCATTCATTAAGTTGAAATTTTTCGAAGTTTTATAGCTGGACCAGCTGGTGCAAAAATGTGTCAACTTTTCGCGAAACGTATCGTTTTTCTAACCAATTTACGATATGGGTTTACTTAAAATTGTTTTAGTTTCACAGCTTGAATAGCTTGATAAAAACAACAACTAATTTTTTTGGCGAGCTAATTGGTTGTTAAAGAGGTGCTTGCTAGCATATATTAAATGAAGAGAGAGAGAGAGAGAGAGAGAGAAAGAGAGTTGCTTGCTTGCATATATAAGATGAAAAACGTAATGCGCTATGGACGCAATGTTTAACTGAATGCATAGTTTTAATTTTTTCGAGTGCAT